GACAACCTTGATGTGTGTATGCATGTGCGCATCTGTCCAAATATCTCAACTCGGCACCCAAGTAAGCTCTGGCGCCAAAATTTTACCAGTGGGTTTTCAGGCCAACTACCACTTCAGGACCGTCGGTAATAACTCTCACGCAAGTCCAGATCCCGCGTACGAGCGCGTGAAAGTTTTGGCGAAAAGATCGCTAACTCAAGAACCAGAAAAGTTGGAAAGGTGAAATTTTGACGGCACGTTCCCTGCCTAAGTACCGCGTAGATAATAAGCTTTCCAGCTTCAAGGACCAGTATGTCACAAATCCTAGCTACTGCGTATCCGAGCAATCTCATTACAGAACGAAATCATTGGCGACATGCACCAGGCGGGCTCGTGCGACCATGTGTTTTGCAGTGTTTAGAGCTGCAATGACATCGCTCAGAAACCCAGTAGCTAAAAATGTGCGACATACAGTTCCTTGAAGTCCGAGAAGTTAATTGTCTAGTACTAGTTGGACAAAGAACATCGCCTTAAAATTTCAGCCTCTCCGCTTTCCTGGTCCCTGAGTAAGCCATTTTCCGGCCGAAAAGTTTCAAGGGGACGTACGTGACAATCACACACACCTGGGCGATGAATATCATAAATTTAAGTTGTACACGGTCTGGAAACGTTCCCTGAAATAACAGCCTCCCAGCTACTCTGATTCCGGAGTTAGCAATTCTTTCCGCCAAAAACTTTCACTGTGCGGTACAAGACAACCATGCATCCCGGGGGCTAAGTTTGAAATTTTAGCTTTCACGGAGCCTCAAAATCTTAGCCTTCCAGCTTCCATGAGTCCAAAGTTAGGAATTTTCCGCCGAAAACTTTCATGGTGCCGAACGTGTGAACCACAAATGTCCGGGGGCAGGAATTTGTTAACTTTAAGTTGTTCATGGGCTGAAAAAACCCCCTAAAAATTTCAGCCCCCCAGCGTTTCTGGCTTCCCAAATTAGCGATTTTCGCGCCAGGAACCTTCATGAGGCCGTGCGCGGGAACCACGCGTATCTGGGCAATGAATCTTTGAGTACCAGGTGGGCGGGGAACATAATCCCAAAATTTCAGCTTTCTGACTTTTTATGCGTTTCAGCGCTATACCGCTGCTACAGCCAGCAAAAACGCATGTTGTCGAGAGGCTGTGTGTGTGTGTGTGTGTGCGTGTGTGTGCAAAGCGAGTGCATTTTGTCACCCACTTTCAACTCGGCAACCAGGAA